ATACGGCACATGGGTTGACACAACCCTCATTACCAATACAAGCTGAGGGATGAAAGGATTGAGTACAACCCTGTCGAAAAAGACCTGGGGATACTGGTGGATGGGAAGCTGAACATAAGAGAGCATGTGACCTTGCAGCCCAGAAAGCCAAACGTATACTGGGGTGCATCAAAAGATCCATGACCAGCAGGTCGAGGGAGGCGATCCTGCTCCTCTCTTCTGTGCAGGTGAGGGCTTACCTGGAGAACTGCACCCAAACACAGAGTCCTCAGTACAAAAGAGACATGGACCTGATGTGGAGTGCATCTAGAGAAGAGCCACAAAAATAATGGAACACCTCTCCTACGAGGACAGGCTGACAGAGCTGGGGTTGCTCAGCCTGGAGAAGAGAAGGCTGCGAGGTGACCTGATAGTTGCCTTTCAGTATCTGAAGGAGAGCTACAGGAAAGAAGCAGACAGACTCTTTAGCGGGGTCTGTTGTGACAAAACAAGGGGAGATGGATACAAGCTCGAAGAAGGTAGATTTAGGTTGGATACAAGGAAAAAGTCTTTTACAGTGAGAATGGGAAGACACAAGAACAGTTGCCCAGAGATGTGGTTGATGCCCCATCCCCTAAGACTTTCATGGCAAGGCTGGATCAAGCCCTGGACAACCTGATCTAGCTGTGCACGTTCCTGTTCATTGCAGGGGAGTTGGACCTTTTAAGGTCTCTTCTAACTCTATGGATTGTATGATTATACAATCTCTCCTTTTTACTTTATGTAATGTGATGTTACGTACAGTCTGAATGAAATAGCTATAGTAATAGAGAAAAACTAACCACCTACAGTCCACTTCAATAAGGCGACACAACACAGAGCACTAATGTAAAATTACAGGCAAACAAAACTAAGCCATCACTGTGGCCTACTAAATGAAATCATAAATGCTTGCGTTCTAATAGAAGCACACAGAGAAAAAAATCTTTAAAAGTGATTTAAATAGGGGGGGCAACAAGTTCCCAGAATGTATATCAATTTCATTTTTAATAGCAAAATATTTTTCCATTAAGCGATTAAAAAGCTCACCTAGAAGCAAGCTCTATGAAAAAGATTCCAAGAACTTTCTGGCACAGACTTAAACTTGAAAGGACATACTTAAAAAAAAAAAAACACCATATTTTTTAATCTTTGATCAGGCAAGGCACCTGATCAGTGTGTATTAATGAAGCTGTTAACACTGAACTTGTTTCCACTCCTGTGGTAACCTGTGATTTATAGTCTCGCATTTTTGGCGTCTACAGTATCTCCTTAGTGAAATTGCCTTTCTCTATCTCATCTACATCTTTAGAACATAGCTTCCAGTTAACAAGCAGTCAAGAAGGACAAGGTATTGTAAAAGAATAAGAAAACTAATTTCACATTAGCAATTAGCCTATTCACATTAATTATTCATTTACCTCATTCTACAATTTCCCTGCTGCTCTTTTGAGCTTCCTTTGTCCTTGCCACACGCTACAGCTCACATTACCTCACTTTGATACTTTGCTCCCTTCCAAGCGGAGCCATGAGTCTAAAACATTTATTTTGTTTGCTAATAACCTGCCTGTGTAGACACTTTGGAACTGTAATGGCACTAGAAATACAATTCCAAAGCCTTCAAAAGAATCAACACACTAAAATAATCATTATGAGCTAAGTAGAGTGACTTGGTATATGAAGAATCATCTTAGTTCTCGGAAAACAGCAAAAAGTCTATTATTTCTTAAGGAAGAAGCTGAGAACTGAATTAGAGCTGATGAAGGATTCGGATTTTTTCACAATTTATGTATCTGACTTGACTCGTAACATCCATAATTAAATGCAGGAACCTACTGCAGGATTTAAACCAAGCTCCAAATACTGTTTTGTCTCAGAAAAACACTATCAGAAGTGCAGTAGATATTTGATAGTGAACCATTCTGGGAATACGAAAAACAGCGTTCCATCTCCCAGAAAGGGAATAGGTGATCATTATTCTAATAGCTATGTTTAAATCAACCCATATGTAGAGCCCTGCAAGGACAAACTTCTTCTTGCATAGCGTTCCAAAACATAAAACCTATACATGCAGGTTATAAACAGTACTACTTCATAATTACTTGAAATAAATTAAAACTACAGTATGGCTATTATCTACAGGCTACGGTGCAAAACCAGAGTGACCCTGTCGTCGATCCTTGAAATGCTAGACAGATTTTCCAGCCTGACTTGCCTCATTCAGCGTGTAGCGAACTCCTTATAATCCAACAGAGGGCTCTTTTTCATCCTGCTAACAGCTGGCATATGAACATCATTCATCTCTGTGTCTGAATTAAGCAGTGATGAAAAGCATGAGACTAACAGCCTTGGAGACTAACGTGCTCTGTGTAAGCACAGAATAGGGTCAACATGGATGATGGAAATGTACATCTTTTCACTGATACCTAACAATATGCTTCTATCTTTTCTCCAGTGTAAAGTTACATGATGATAACATAATTTGGTGACCAAGCTTGTTACAGATCTATTCTTGGTAAGACTTCCAGAAAAGGTGACAGCAAGTCCTAAAAACATTTGTGGTAATATCTACGTGGAATAGGAATGATGACTAAAGGCAACCTATGCATTCCTTCAACCAGATGGCAATAACCATCAGCTTGCATTGATTTGGTATCTTCCCCCAGCACTCACAAACCATGAAGTTTACAGATATTCTTTTCCTGGAGAAAAGAAGGCTGTGGGATGACTCATTGCAGCTTTTCAGTACCTAGAGGGGAATCAACTCTTTGAAAGGGTAGATAGCGGCAGGACAAGGGGAAATGGTTTGAAGTTGAGGGAGGGAAGATTGAGGTTGGACGTCAGGGGGAAGTTCTTTACAGAGAGAGTGGTGAGGTGCTGGAACAGCTGCCCAGAGAGGTGTGGATGCCCCATCCCTGGAGTTGTTCAAGGTGAGATTGGATGGGGCCCTGGGCAGCCTGGTCTGGTATTAAATGTGGAGGTTGCTGGCCCTGCATGTGGCAGGGGCGTTGGAGATTCATGATCCTTGAGGTCCCTTCCAACTCTGGCCATTCTGTGATTCTGTGATACTCTGAACTGCAGCCTTTGAATTATTCTTTCAACCTCAAGACAAGCAGAGGTGACGCAATACTGCATTAAGTGCTTAGCAAACATACATGAAACCAAATCACAGATAGGCAATACGCAAATTCCTCATTTTGTCATCTCACGTTATACTCAGCATACATCTGAGAGATCCCATTCATATTGTGGATAAATAACATCAACAGTAGTAAGACATTAGAATCAAGTAAAACTGAGGAAATATTTAGAAATTAACCACTCCCCAGAAAAAAGGGGAAACAACTCTCTTGTATGTTCTGAATGAAAAACAACCAAATATTGAACAGAATATCTGATGGCTAAATGTCCTATATATTTGAAGTTTCCTCCAAAAATACTGGCTGGCAAACCAATGGGAATAGGAAAAAAATAACATGATTAAACAGATTTCAAGCACAAGAGGAAGGCTAAAGGACAAAGGAAAAACAGAGCAAACAAGTTATACTATCACAGAATATCCTGAGTTGGAAGAGACTCACAAGGATCATTGAATCCAGCCCCTATCTTCACACAGGACCATACAAAGGTCAAACCCTATGTCAGAGAGCACTGTCCTAATTCTCCTTAAATCCCAGCAGCTTGGGGCTGTGAACACTGCCCTCAGAGCCTGTTCCAGGGCCTGACCACCCTCGCAGTGAATAACTTTTTCCTAATACCCAACCTGATCCTCTCCTGATGGAGCTTAATACCATTCCCTCAGATCCTATCACCGGTCAACAGAGAAGAGATCAGCACCGCATCATATTAATATAACCTGAGATAAAGGTATAACAGCAAAGACATTTTCTTTTATTATTTGTCTTTTTTAAATTTAGCCTAACGAAAGCAACCCAAAGCCTTCCTCTCTATATGAGTAGAAAATATTAGACATTTATAGTACAATTTGAAGACAGCAAATAGGCTAGTGCTTAATCTTGAATAAAAAGCTGAAGGAACTGCCAGTCAAAGCTCATAAGCAAGGGCCTACTGACCTCAGCAAAACCATGTAATTCTGTACCTAATTAATGCACTTCTTCAATAATGTTGTAATAGATATCTTTTTGAATGTGGTGCATTAACATCTTAATGTGAGCACAACAGTATCCTCCCATTTGATGGTCCAAAACTAGATAGAAGGGGATACAAGAAAATACAGAAGTTCTTCAATGATTTTTAGAGACTCTTGAGGTTTTAGAAATCCATTATCAAAATATTAACAATATTAAATACTACCAGCGGTCCTTTCCATAGAAACAACCACCTATCCAAATGATTATTACATTATTGCTTATTTGGCTCAAGAAGTTAGCCATAATTCTGGCTTTGCAGAATGGCTTTCATTTGTATTGCCAGTTCCTTAAGCAAGACAGACACATTCTCCTGTATTCTTCCAGGACATTCAGAAAAAAATTAAGACATCTCAGTATTCCTTGTTTGCAAAACAAAGAGACAATTAAAAAGATACCATGATATACAAAATGCAACAGATGTTAGACACGAGTTCAAATCTTGCTTGCAAATCAGGTAAAGAAAAGACTTAATGCGAGACGTTCACATAACATACCACTACAGTATTTGCCACTTAATTTTAGAGTCCCCCTCACTCCATCTTGGTCTGTTCTTCCTGCTTGGCTTGCTATATTACAGAAAGCATTTTTTTATTTAAATCAAAATATTCCTGAAAAACATCAGCGATTTGAGTCACAAATCTACTTAACCAGAAAAAGAAAATAGGAAAAGCACATGCTAAGAAAAAGGAACGATGCAAAAAATGCTGCACATGCACCAGGTTTCACACTGTCTGTAAACGTTCCTTTCTGAAAGGAAAGGTCGGTAAGATTTACTTCCTGAACATACACTTATAGCTCTAGTAGATGGGAAAGTAAAGATCAGGATATTACCGTGAAACCACTGAGCAATCCTGTTGGTATTCCTCTCAAACCCGGCACGTCGAGGGACCTGCTCTTCTTTGAACCAGCGAATGATGACTTCTCTTGAAAAGGGTCTAGAAGGACGTTCCCAGATTTTACTACATTAAAAGGCAAGAAGGCATTCACATGGGGAATTAGCAGTGCAAGAAAGCAAGGGTCAATATAGTTCGAAATCTCCTTTGAATGTATTTTACAACACACACCTAAAAATGCAGCATGTCCAGTGTAACTGTTGTTCAGTATAGATCACTGAACAATTTCAATGTTTTTTCTTTTTACTTATTCAAATACTTATGAGCTTTTATTTAAACAAAAACATATTCAGACTGTAACAGAATTCTAAGTAATTTCTTAAGAACTACAACTGAAAAAACATTTATCACGAAAGACGCAAGGGGCATTTCAAGCAGCCTCTGTATTCCGCTTAACTTTTACAAGTAGGTTTTTTTCTGCTTAGAATATATTCCTTTGCACTGGTAAGAAATTCTAAACCAAAATCACCTATAATAGTTCGTTTACCTAAACCACTGAGCACGAGAGAGGAAATGTTTGGTTTAAGCCCTTATGTCGCCTCGATACTCTCAATTTGCCAGCTTCCCTTACAACTTTATAAGCATTTTAGATTACATTAGCTAGTAAAAGGCAAGTCAGGTAAAACATGTGGAAAACACATCCAGCAATCCTAAGAAAGGACTGAGGGTAGCTCTATAGTATCAAAACAAAGCCTGATAGCATTCCAGTCAAGCACACAGTCTCATTTACCCTGGTAACATAAACAGAAGGGAGGTCTTACTACGGATTTCTGTTTGAAATCCCATGGAATTCTGTGTGCTCTAATTGTTAATGAAAGGTATCAAATCTTCAAGCTGGTGCATGTGTGTCTACTTGTAGTATAAAGTCACTTTCATTTGGTAAGACATACGTACTCTTCATAGGAACCAGTACGATAGCCAGCTACGTTTTTTCTTGCTTTCTTAACCCACCTGCCATGAAGCAGCTATTTAACATTGGGTATTTCCAGACAATATAATAAAAGAAATAGTAATATAACATCAACTCAGAAGGTACCAAACCTTAAACTGACGTGAGATAATCAAGAACCCCCCCAAAAAAACCCAAAACAGTAATTCATATCAATAAACAGTAATATCATATCAATAAATAAGAGAAAAAAGATAGATGATGTCCGCTTGATGATATGAAAGTTAATAAAAATAGCGATTGAGCTTGTTAACACTGAGTGATGAAGCCCAAAGTAATAGTAATTGCTAAATTACATCAACACGTGGATAGATCTGACCAACATTCATAATCAAATTTGAAGATGTAAAAATACGAGTGAATGGAGAAAGTGAAGATTCAGACACAGATATGCACTTACTGAAAGAAACAAAAAATCCTACGTATGTTTCTTATTTCTGTTTTTTAATATCTTTCTTCGTTATAGAAACAAGAAACCGTTTGAGTTCTAAAGCCCTTCAATCCATTCTCATTTCTCAACTCATTTTGCTCTACTTCTATTTAATTGTGAAAGGCTTGTGGAATTTATTTTTGCCCAGAGACAAATCTCAAAATTACTATCTGTCATTTTCTATAGTGTTAGTGTTGTCAAGCATGTTCATACATGACAGAAGAGAAAAATACATCCACAAAAATATAAGTAAAATATAAGCACAGTATGCAAAAGGAAAAAACTGAATAAGCAGACAGGAAAAGGTAAAACTACAGGACTTGTGCTTCACATTGAAAAACTAGAGATATGATACTAAACCTGCGTTTCCTAGAGGCTGGAGGTCTGCCTCAGACCAGCTGTTAATAACCATGTACTGTATATCTCCTCTTGAATTTCCACCTCACAAGAGAAGGAAAATTTTAGATACCAACATTCTTTCTTCACCATACTCGTATTAAGTGTAGGAAGTTGAACTATATACATTTACTTATATGCTGTATCACAGTAAGTGTTTAAAGCATAGCTTATAATAGATAAGCAGTATTGAACATGAACTGTATAACCATCAGGACATACCTCAGTATTTTTTTCAACCCCTTTTTCAAAACACTCATGTCTGGTACTACCAAATGCACAGAATGGCCTGGGTTGAAAAGGACCACAATGATCATCTGGTTCCAACCCCCTGCTATGTGCAGGGTCGCCAACCACCAGACCAGGCTGCCCAGAGCTACATCCAGCCTGGCCTTGAATGCAGCCAAGGACAGAGCATCCACAAATTCCTTAGGCAAACTACTTAAAGTATCCTCCCTCCAGAAGCTCAGAACTTCTTGTTACAAGTTACAGATCATCTATTTTAGAAGGCATCATTTTCAGTAGTGTTTATAGTACTCCATTTCAGGGAAGACTTTTATTTAAGTAGCTCAGAAAAATAATATCAGCTCTGACAAGTTGATTTGATGGAAATTTTAAATATTCTGCCATCTCTCAGTCAGTGATATTTTGATTCCTTCTCAAACTGCTTTTGCTGCTGAATCAGAGGTTTTCTGATTCAACACAACACAGGGAAGAACTTACTCATCAAAGCAGAACAAATTTCCACAGAAGAGGAGACTCCTCACTCATGCAACACAAATTAGTAAAGCAATGTCACTTGTAACATTTAATGCTACCATTCTGATAGAATTCACACTGTCATCATCATCGCAGGAAGCCAAATTAATGACAAAAGATGTATTGAAGGAAACAGTGACTAATCAAGATTCTAGCACTTATATGCTGAATTCTTTACACAACACTCCCTGAACGGTTGGATGAAAGATTAGTAAGCATAAAACACCGAAAATATTGGATTTTGCCAAGAGAAAACTCTCTGAAGTTTAGGAGTACAACAACTGTCCATAGTGTGTTTCAAAGGTCATGTGGCTCTGGGCAGCCTGATCTAGCGGTTGGCAACCCTGCACATAGAAGGAGGGTTGAAACTAGATGATCATTATTTCAACCCAGGCCATTCTATGATTCTATGATCCATTGCGAAGCAGACAGTTTCAGGCTTGAGAGTCAAGAATTGCCTAAGAATTTGTCCATTTGACTTTGTCCATATCAGAGCCTTGCATACTAATCTAATCATGATTTCTGATGGGCCCATCTTTTAGTAGGAGCTCTCACAAATCTGCCTGAAAAATAATTCAGTTGGCATTAAGTATTCAGTTGTTTCCACCTAAAAAACACTCATGCTCTGGTTGTTGTGAAAGAACAAGACAGTCAGAACATAAAAAACCAAAAACTTAGCTTGTTGATACAGGTAGGCATTGGAAAGGGAACAGTTCAAAAGAACAAGCACTTTCAAGTTACTCTTGTGCAAACTAACCTGGATGTCACAGCGTGAGACAGCAAAGGACTCGCACTGTTGCTGTTCAGTTTTGCCTCCTGATCGTTATTCAGGCTGGTTCCCTGGAACAAATTACTCAGATCAGCCACTCTGCCCTTCTGGATGGCCCGCAAGGATTGCCGCCGGTACTCATCCCTCGCTCTGCGTGCTTTGTGGCTCCTTTCTTCATCCGCAGCTTTGGAGCGGCGCACTGAGTCAACGAAGGAGAGGGGTCAGGAGGTGAAGCTTCTGAAATACATACTGACGTTTGCCCTTATTTACGTCATTAGTACTCACGATACCTGATTTTAAGAACACGCAAATTACAATGCGCTGTCAGTGGGAAAACAAAGCAGATAACCTCCCTGATGCTTCAAATACAGGCCCAACAGCAGAGGAAGCATGCCAAATTTGTGCTATCGATGGCTTGATTGCTACGGGCAAAAACTGAGCCTCCACAGACTGTGATTACATCTGATGCTTGCACTGGATGTAATAAGAGAAATTCTGCTGCAGGACATCTTTTCCACTAGTGGTTGATCAAGTTATACATTCCAAGAGAGAATATTAATTATTGCTTGAGCAGCTACGCACATAACTAGAACTGCAGGAGGTTTTCCCAGAATGTACAATTGTAAGCATTAGTACTTAGATTGCTCTATTTGTTAACGTTGCTTTCTTTCTAGAAGTGGATACTATCATCATTATGATGTTTAAAATCATAAACACCTCCATCTTAAAAACTCCAGTCTAAAAATTGTTTCAGGAACAGCAGAGAAAATGAATAGCTAACGTAAAGGGTATTCCGATGCTACAGATGGTGTTATCTCCTATTTCAGTCTCTGAAACTGTATACAAAGACCCAGAGCCTGGTCTGGCACATTTGATCGACACGATGATCCTTATGGGAATATCCCATCCCAGGATATCCTATCATTCTAATACACACGTATCTGCGGCACTGACCAGGAATACGTAAGTAAAGCAAACTAATTTCCGTAACCTGAAATGATGGAACTGCAGCTCTGGCCACCGCAGATCACACATCTTTCACTAAAGCTCCTTTATTTGAAAAACAGCGTACTAACAATCCCCTTGTCAAACTGGTGTGACTTAAACGCACTAAGAATATGCAAATATTTGTCATCTATCTGCTCTTTCCTGGTGCCTCAAGCCCCATTTTGATGATTTTTTCAGACATAAATAACTTCAGGCAGGAAAATTATTCCAGTGCAAAACAAACCTTTAACATTCAGTGAAGCAAATATTAAAGCAGCACGCTATTGCCTCCAGTAGCAATTATCAATCCTGCCATGACTATCCTGGCTCAGATCATACCCAATTCATAAAGTGCACATGCTCTTTCCTACTCTGCTGTGATCGTACCTGTGACTTGGAATGCATGATATAATATCAGACAGCTGCATTTCATTAGGCTGCACACCTCTGGTTTATGCTCCTGATTTACAGCAAGCACAGGTTTTAATAGATTTGTCTGAATTACGAAAAGGTTTAATGGAATAAAAAAATAAAAGCGCTTAACAGAAAACAAAATAAAACACTCTAGGCAAATGAAGGAATGAGAGAAGACCTCTAAGTTCAGATATAAAATATTATTATAGGTAGAAAGGTATATACGACTAAAAACTAATCAAGACAGAATAATAAACGAGTCATCGTTACTTCCTGTGCACACAACTTGAGTGTATTTTCACTTAAATACACACACTGTCATTTTAGCTAAATGCAGTAACAGCCATACAGCACAAAAAACTGAATACCGTGTTCTGCTATTTATCTAACAGGTCATTCTTTTTAAGGGTAGATAATCTTATCTAAATACCCTACTTCAGTACGTCAAGTGTACTAGATACAAAATTTCTATGATTTATCCTTTCTAAAGCCAGTGAGCAACAATTGCTTTAAACGTGGACTTTGTGTTTGCAGCAATATGAGAGAGAGTAAGGAAGATGAGTACAACACAGCTGGGTAGGACATTTAGAAACCAGTCATTGTTCGTTACAAACAGATTGAGGGCAGACTGCGTGGAGCTTTTCAGCATTTCTTTCTACTGATGTACAGACTGACTGGCAAGGAAACGAACAAGGTGTATTCATGCTCAAGTTTCCTCAGCAATAGATTTTTCAACAGCATTCCTACTGTCTTTTTGCTAGCTAATAAATCTATATCATCAGATGCCTGAGACATGAACTATGTTTTCCCAAGCAGTATCAAATATATATATAACTGTTTCTTATGTCAAAAGCAAGGGAAGAAAGAACATATTTTTCAACTGCCAATCATTAACATTCAAAAAAATTTTTGAATGGATATCTGATGTGCAGCCTTGTCCATCCCTATACATATAGATATATATACATGTGTTCATATATGTAAATGCATATACATATGCATACACATCTACACATGCGTAGGAATAGAGAAGAATATAGTCAGATATCTACGCATAAAGGTATTCATATGCACGAGTGTATATATATACACACACACACATACATATACACACACAAACCCACACATATATTTAAGCATCTCTTCCCTATGATGAAGAATTTTCATTAAAATTCTCCAGCTTAAGTGTCTGAAGAACTGCATCACTGAGCATGGGGGTGTGCAAGGTCTCTTAATCGATTATTTGCATTATTGACTTGCTGACAGAAGATACTTTCACAGCAAATGTACATTTGACGTGACCCCTATGCAAAGCACAACATTCAACAATCGGTATTTTCTGTAAGAAGACTAGATATTTAAATACCTCCTGTCCTCGAAAATATCTGAATCATCACCATAGGTATCTATCTAGCATCAAGAATTACCACAAACTTACATCACAGAATAACTTCAGAATAATTTCAGTACTGGGAAAGGAGGATTTTGATTGATGTTTCAAATTTACACACAAAATTTACCATTCAGCCAAGTCCCCTGCGTCCACCTCCACCATCAGGTTTCTCTTCAGATGTTGGTCAAGAACAAAGAACAAGAACGGGTACATCCTCCTCCAGCTCAGGTGAAATTAAGCATACTTTTAACCTGATGTACCATGTGCCCCACACTGTACCTTGTATAGAAATGCAGACTGGTTTCTGTGTGGTCTTAACTTCAGTTTGCTCCATCTTGGAGACTTTTTGAGAATCTGTTATTTCTCTCTACCAGTCTAAACAATCTTACGAATCAAAATGCAACACCATCTTTCATATTTTCAGTTCGGGCTGGGAAACCCTTATTTATATTATATCAGCTTATCTAGCCCCGGATTTGTTGTATTAACAAATCTTTTAACTCAGATAAAGATTAACTTGTACTGTGCTCCATCAGTGAAGCACATCAATTCTGAGATTAGGAACTCTCCATTTTCTATAATACATGTTGTGATTTTGAAGAGCTGTGAATTACAGATGGAGATATGCCAAAGTAAAAAAAAAAAAAAAAAAAAAGCCATAAATGTTTGTTTGTTTGTTTTTAAGAGATTTTGCTTAAGTTATACCCTTGTTAATTATTCTTGAAAGCCTGGCTATGAGTAATTCAAAATGAGTGCTTGATAAATACAATTCAACCTGCAGATTTTCTGAGTGCAGACCCAAAATCACACGGTGTTTTCTGCTTCACTACTGAGAAAAAACTTCCCACAAATATCCTGCAACAGGGCTTGACTTCAGCAATCTTTTAATCTGAAAGTATGTGAATAATTCCATCCCTATTCAGCAATGTGCTCTGAGATCTATTGAAGTTCTATGAGCACATACTTAAGGTTGAGCATTTGCTTATTTAATGCATAGCTGAACTGGGAGCTCTTTGCTTTAAAAACCAGCATTTTATCAAATATTCCTGCCAGTAAATTCCTTCACTTGAATTTCTGTGAAAGGTAAGTACCAGAACATAAAATCCTTTGAACCTCAACAAGTTCATAGGGGTACCTTGTTGTAGAACATAAAAATATAGAAGAGGTTCTACCAGATCAGCCTGGTATCCCGTTTCCAACAGAGACCAAAGGTGGGTGCTTCAGAAAATATGCAAGAATATGAACAGAGCAAGTCACTCAAATCTATTTGCATCTTTTCAGGCTTGTTAACTGTCTGGAGAGGGGTACAGTTGGTCAGACAGTATCCAGGCACTTCTTTCCTTGGTGCAGTTTGCAGGAAGTTGGCAGTGTACCGACAGAATGCCTTCTGCACTATTCAAGCAGAGGAATCCTTATGGTACTAGTTTTCATATTATGCAAAATATGATAAAACCCTCCTTTATGGTCTCACACAACAGAGTCACACTCAGAGAGCATGGCATAGAGTATCGTTTCTTGAATACTCTAGAAGCATACAAAATAGACCAACCTGTAGAAAGATTCAAAACCAATCAGAATACATACTCTTCTATCCTAGCTTAGCCTCAGTTCTCACTTCTCAGAATAAGAGCGTGGGAAACCAGACTCAATCATTCCTTTCTACTATTCGTCTTCTCATTTGCCAACCAATATACTCCACATATTAACTTGCAACTGCTCTCTATAGTAACCCAACACATATTATGCGCATAATTGCTATTAATCATTTTTTCCTTAAAGTGGTGCTTTTCCAGGTTTTTCCACATTTGTCATTTATTATATTAAAAAGCACCGAAATGATCTATTTCAATTAACAAAGCAGTTCTACGGGATTTTATTGTTATTTGGCACAATCAAGCAAACCACAGAAGCAAACTGAACAGGACAATAGAAACTAATATTAGCAGCACTTTGTTTATCACATTGGCAGTAAACTGAGGGGATAATGCGCCGAAGAGAGATGAATCCTCATCACATTCTAAATTTCATCTGCTAAATAAATTACTACTGTCATCAATATCACTGCTACATTTGCTCTCCACAATAGCTGCACTAGCACTGCTGTTCCTCTTCGGTACTGACCCCCAGCACTGTTGAATATGAAGGGCTGACTACAAGGACATAAGACACAAAGGAGCTTGGCCTTGCTCCTACTGGGCAATATGGTCTCCATTGCAGGCGGGCATGAGACAAAACATGTTAATAGTACGTCTGCTTAGACCTTTCTCACACATTCATGCATTTATTTCTTGCTTAGGAAATACGACAAATGGATAGCTTTGCCCATCTTGCCTAGATTTCCTCTCAGTGCATTGAAGAAATATATGAAGACACAACGAAAGGATTGCCATGAAAACAGGGAAAAAAGAAGTCATTTGAACTGAACTAAAAGCTGAGAAGTCTGGTGAATCCGAGCACTAGCTCATTCCCTAGCGGTTAACACGTTTCCTCTTCCAAATATTTTTTGCTGTCTGTTTGCTGAAGGTTCTGATGTTTGGGCAAAGTTAGGGGAACAAAAGATATGAACATGCATCAGGAAACTCACCGTGGTCGGATGGCAGAGTTTAAACCAGCCCAGGAACTGGTTTCAACCGAGGCACTAAACACTACATCTTCATATCTTAAACTGTCACAGCTATTTGCTAATGGAACACAGTTCTAAGCCCTCAAATCAACTGGGATAAATTGAGACAATGAGATAAGCATAAGAGGATAAACAAAGATATGATACACTCCAGTCATTACCCTGCAGTTAGTTTAATGCTAAATCAATTCCTGATAAGAGCATAAACTCTGAGAGCACAGAATTTATAGCAGGCTGCAACCCTCAGCCATGGTGCAGCCAACCAGACCGTGCTGACCTTTTGTTTTGCCACAGCAGCACTGTTACTGGTGATAACACTTGGTATCTCAAATTATCTGAGCTGCAGTCAGTCACTCTTCAGAGCACAAAGACACATCCATACAGGTAGCAAACTATACAGAGTGAGGGGGACAAAGGATGGACCAGTAATTTTGAGTTCCTTCAAAACACAGAGAACACTCCAACCAAAGGGTACATAAGAAAAAATAACCATTATGTCAGTCAACATATGATGTAGTTGAAATCTTTTTTGGACTGACACCGAATGCCATTAAAAGAAATAGTCCAAGTCTTTCACAGCTTGTTTCTTTTCCCTCTGCCTCTTCTCATAATTCCTTTGTTGGATTTCTGGTATCTGTCCCTGTACAACCAGGATTCCTTGAGAAAACTGAAACGATTTCAGAAACTTCACTTCTCTCTTCAATGCATCAAAGTAAAATAATTGCAGTAATAAAAAATTTGTATATTTTATTAGTAATGTTTAGAGTATTTTTTGTTGCCACTCTCAGTATAAAGATAGGCTGCACTTTTCTTTGTAACATGGTTGCAGGTGTATTTTCTTTTCTTACCTACCAGGAGAAATATTTAAGTACATAATGCCATCCTCTATGCTAAGTTGCTAGCTGATACTAATTAACAACATCTAATTTTCAACAAAACTAGACTATTTCTGACCTAATTTAGTCCAAACATAGAAAGCTACAGTTTTCCTTTCAGAATAAATACGTACACCTAGATTTAGATGATTTAAGAATCATTACCTTTTCTTTATTGACGGTGTAATATGCAGAGGTTTTATTGATCAAAAATAAGCCTACCCTGCTACCACCTTGAAAAATAGCACCAGTGTATCTTATATAAGCTTAATTCATTTTGTTAGAAAGATTCACTGTCACATCAATCTCAGGTAATAGGACTTCAGTAACTAGTCTTCAGGAACTGCTGAAGTGATTACCAACACTGTAAAATAAACTCATAGCATATTCTGAAACAGTACAGCAATATTTTCGCCTACTTCACGAGGTATTTCACATATCACATGCTATTTGTCACCTCCATAAAGCTCTATTTGCAGTATTAGTTGATTAAACTTTGCACTGTATATAATTAATAGAATACACTCATGTGAGCTATAACATTACAAACATCGCATTTTCTGAAAAATAATCAAACAATATTACTGCAGGAAATAATATTCTTCCTCCAAGAAAAATTCAAATCTCCTAATTCTTCAGTTAGTTTTACAGCATACTCCAGATCAAGCAGACCTAAGTTTTTTTCACAGCAAACTATTAAGGTTACATTTCCAATATATGTATATATATCGAGTCACATGCTTGTCCTGTTCTTTATTGTCTTTAGAAAAACACAACTATGTTTATAAATTAATCACAAAGACAAAAATAAATAATTTCAGAGTGGCTAAAAAGAAATGGTCTCGGTACAGGGTTGAGCATCACCACGAGCATTTTTTTCAGGGAAACAATCTAAGTATTATTTATTGTAATCCCTCAAACTGAAGAGCTGAAATCATAGCTCATATCATATAGAATGAATTAAAACACAGATGAAGACAGATTCTACCTCTTCAGAGACAGCAGAGAACAAGACGTCTGAATAAGTGTGTCCATTCATTCTACTCGATATATTTCTTCTCAGTCATTGACATGGACTGTTATTCAGAAATGTGAAATTGGTAAATTCATAAAAGCTTTCACTTCTAAAATAAGTTTGTGATTTCCTGAAAAATAATACAGCATTTTGCATTGCTCTGGGTACGAGAGATTTTTTGCAACACCTCTTTTTGTTCTAGTAGCAAATAGAAGTCTTTCAGAAATACATAAATCTTGTGAAGATCGTTTTACTCACACTGTTCTTCCCACTCCTGGTCATCATCGCTGTGTTGACTGTGCTGCTGAGCTTGCTTGAGGCTCAAATACAGCTCTTTTGCTCGGATTTCCTCCTGCTGCCTTATTTGTTCTTCACCCTTTTGTCTCTCCTCTTCTTCTCTTTTCTAAGCAAAATGAAGCAAAACAGAAATGACTAAAGCAGAAGAATATGCCAAGTTAGGACACAGCTTCAGTTGTTTCTGACCAAAGTAGCTATGGTACTTTGAAAAAATACACCTATCTCATAATAGATATAATAGAAACCACAGCAGTAAGGAACTTCAAAGGACCTAAGAGCTGAAATTTATAAGGAAAACACCTCATCACATGGCACCAGAACTTGTACTATCCTACAATTCAGAAGTAGAGCTCTTGTTTTCAATACACACGGACTCCTACTGGAGTCATTGCTCCCACTCAAGCTTGATACACATCTGTAATGCTATAATGTGATGATAACAGCAAGGTGGCAAAGTCTTCAGCTACAGCAAATAAGAAGGAGCACAAATGCAGGAACCACAAAAAACAGAAATGAAGGAAAAGAGCTTAGGAAGACCTGAGGTAGGCAGGGATCTCCAAAAAGAAAACCTCACCTCTACTACTAACACTTCAGTAAGAGCTAGGAAGGGGTGGATCCTGGCTCCAGCCCTTCCAATCACTCAACTGCATTGCATGCACCTGAACTTCCCTGGGTTGGCCCTGCCTTCCCACCAGGTGCTCAGTCACTGGTTCAAGCCCAGACTTAGCATTTCTGCTACAACATCTTTTCTAAGATCTGTACTATTCTGAATCAGATTTACTACTGTTCTTGCGTGAGCAACTGTCACCATGTGTCTTCATAACCAACACAGAGAACAATGTTCTTCAAATATCAAGACCGTTACATTCCAGAAGAAAAGCCAGATCCTCCAGCATATGCCAAACACTTTGCAAAATGTAGCTTAACACACGGAAATTTCCTGTGCAAGAAGAGCATCGAAGAGATAGAAACCTGATAGAATTACATTACAGCTACCCTTCTACATACTATCAATAACTGGGGTGCTTAATTAGTGCAGGAATAGGAATCCACATCTCTTTTTCTATATTTTTCACTATTACTTTAGGAAGAGAAGTAAGTTAATTTTCTTGAACTAAGAAGACTGCTACTACAAACTACGAAGTTTGTGCTGTGTAAATAATTATCTCATTAAGAACATAGATCTTGAATGAATAATGGCAAAACCATTATAACCACAACAATAAGAAACTTATGCAGAATACCTTAATGAGGAGCCCCTGAGTATTCAGCCACCCTCAATTATTAACTCAGCTAAACTCAACCCAAATTAGAAATGCAGCCCAGGTAGACTGTCAGTTATTGTAAATTGTTATCAAATATCTAGCATCAAGCAACTGATCCAGCTGAATAAACTATGATGAAACTGCTTTTACAATAGGGACTTGGGAGAGATACTTCTGTCTTCCTTAAACAGTTGTGTGTGGGGTTTTTTTGTTTGTGAAAGGCCAGAAGTTTCCTAACTTCTCCCTTTTGGGTGGGATTTTAATGTTTAATTTCAATGAGACGGGCAATAGGTCAGCACAGAGAAAGAAAAAAATAGGATTAAACCAGAAAACAACTTTCTCAAATGCACCAACATGACTGATCGATTTTCAGAGCTCATATATTTCAGCAAGCAGATCTTAACTACGGGGCTTTGCATGAGTTATTTCTTCTTCTTCCCTAAGACACAGTCTGAAACTAAGTTCCGATGAGACCGCTCCTTCTTTCAAAGGGGAATCAGATATATTTAGCTTCCTTCACACCCTGTTTGTGCACTGTGAACTTTTTGGAAGGCCATACTTTACAATTCTGAAAACAGATGTCTTCATAATTTTCAGCACAGCAGGATTCACAGCACGACCAACACAATACGTGGTCTATCGTAATAGGAACTACAAATACAAGTGGCGAGATGGATGAAAAACCTGACTTTGAGTATGCTCTAAACTCACAGGCTGCATCAGGAGATGCACAGCCAAGCTCAAGTGATGCTGCTGTTAATCCTGCAAAAAAGTGTCTTAGTCATCTAATTTTCCACATTTTGGTTCTTCCTGTTGGAACGTGTTACCAGACAACGTTGCTTTTTAGCACATTTAAGAGTGACCATCATCTGTGTTTTTCCAGTGGTGAAACACGTGTCTGGACTACTCATCTGAGAATCAAGAAAAACTTTATCCACAATGGCAAGGGTTACTGTTTGTTCATAGGTTTGCTTTTTTAATTCTCTCCAGCTCTGCCTAAGTTATTTGCTGTTAACTGAAAACCTGCAATTAAAGGAGTATGATTCAACTTCTTCTCCAAAGACAGCTTTTCAAAGCAAATAATATTCGCCATTTGTGACTTGTGGAAGCTTAATGAAGACCCAACGCAGCAAAAAGAATCAATACTGTTTGGTTGTTTCAGTTAGAAATGGCACAGTGGCATGTTTAAGTAAAAATGACATTTTGTAGCCGCAGGAATGTGAAAATAAGGGTGCATAAACAAGGACAGATGCCTTGAGTTTCACCAGGGTGCTTTGATTTTTGAATAGTCAGACAGCTGACACAGCTCTGTAATGCTTTTGTCCATTGATAATTAAAAAAGACTGAGAAATAGTAAGCAATTTAGCAGCAACAATCAAACATCGTTTTCGGAGTGGGAAAATGGAACAAATGCAAATCTCCGCCCTTGAAAGAATTCTGTTATTTTTCCATTTCCTCAAGTAAATGAAAACAACATTTCTCCATTTAGCTCAGCTGAGCACCACGAGTTTACACAAGCAGAGGAGGTCCCCTTGATCCTACTAAAGTAAATCAAAAGACCTGAAAAACTGTTTATTGATAGTGATGTATATACGTAATGAATAGGGGTTTTATAGCACACATGATGAACAATAAATTAGGCTGATCTTATTATTTCTGAGAAAGAAAAGCCCGGTATTGTTCTTCACTCAATTTTTCTTATATTAATGCCAGACTCTCTGATTATTTCTAACATTGTCCTCGCACTGTTATCTCCTGAGTCTTAAGAAGATTAGTTGAGTGGACACTTCATTATTTCTGAAATGTCAATGCTTTTATGAAGCACTGATTTCAAAGCCCAGAAGCTTCTTCTTCAGAAAAAAAAAAATCCCTTTTACATCTCCTAGATGTAGACTTTCTTATTTCAGTTGCTAGCAAATGTTTTTAATTTCTTCTTGGAAAAAGCATCCAAGCAGCCATTCTTTATTCTTATGAGGTGAATGTTATCCCCCAAACTGCACTGCTTAAAAAAAAATTCCACCACATGGAGGCTATCTTTTCAGGAAGGCAGATCAGCATAGAGGTAATCCTCAATTATCAAAATGTTTCTATTCAACATCTTACACCACAAAACCAACCAACAAACCAAACAAAAACTACCAGAACAAAACCCACAAGAATCCACCTTAGCAATTTCCCTGAATCACACAAGGGATTTCTCAGAAGTTTGGTTTCAATGCAGCTGTTGTTGAAGAATTTGTAGTATAAAGATGAAAATCCCTAAAAAACAGAACTCAATTCGGCTCTTTAAGGAAAGCAGCAGTGGCTATTAAGTGTATTTTTTTTTTTTTTTTTTTTAGTGGGAACAAGGATCTCTAGGTCAAAGAAGAAATAATAACAAAAGCATTCAACGTTAGCACTTGACTCTGAATTGACAAAACTCGTTTTGCACCATTTTATATCTCTGAGTAAGTTTGATTTTAAATAGCATTTACTCAAATTAGTGCATGAATGCATGTGTGAGTATATTTGGGCACAGCCCCCAACAGTCTGAGTGGAAATGACAACTCATAGCACAACATAGGAAAGATGAGTAAGCATTTGGATAAGTATGAATAAAATGTGTGAATTTTTATTGAAAATGGACAACAATTGGACTTTTCACACTTAGAACAATTGAAAAAGGACAGCACCAAGTTTATCTGCTTCTCCCTGGGAACCTAATCCTTCCCATAGAGCTGAAAGAAAAGAGCTGTAATAATCTCCAACCATCACCTTCTGCCTCGCAGCTGGGAGAGACTGCACTGTGTGCAGTGATCCTTTCATGTCTTCCCAGAATAATTAGGAAGGTGACAATTCAGTGCATGGTTACAACTTGCCAAGAAATACCAACCTGCTGCAACAAATCATGCTGGCAATTCAATAGGCAGGAGTAATCCTCTACAGCTTTAACTCCACTGAAGAATGTGAACATGCTAAATGATCTTATCTAGCCCCTGGCATTTGAGCATTTACCACAAACTTGTTACTGTAAATGTGCATCACACAGTGTTTGATAGTGCTACCTCAGCCAGCTCTAAATAATATTAAATCCTAGCAAGGGTTAGCTTCAGGTGTTTCAGTCCTACGCGGATGAGAGAAGATTAGGTCAGTATTCAGTTTCTGCTGCAGAATGATTTTTAAAATGCCCTGGGACAAGACAAATACATCACCTCATTGTTTTCCAATGGAAAATGGAGTTTCTGGCTGCTGAAGCTCTCGGGGCTTCTCTCGGGAGCATTACAGGATGCAGGGCAGCTGAACGACTGCCGCTCTGCTCGGGGCAAAACCCACACAGAGGGTTTGTTACAGCATCCCTCTCTGAGACAAAGGATACCTGGGATTCCCTCCACACTTCAGGCTGTCAGGAAATGTCCCTGGCAGCCTGAGAGCCGAAGGCAGCTTGCTGCAGCACAGCTGCTCTGCATTTACTTCGACTCCCTGCAGTCAGCCTTGTGCTAGGGCAGATGTCCAGGCCACCTGCCAGAGTACTGCGAGCACAGCTCATCTTCACATCTGAGGCCTGAGGTCTCCCAGCTCTCAGTAAGAGAATCTGAAAAACCCAGGTTCCTCAGCTCCAGGACAGTGTGCTGTTAGCAGAGCTGGAACAGCAGGACTGACTTCAGAGATCAGCATTCTCCACAAACCCACCTGGCAGTTTCCAGCAGAGCTGCGTGCACGTATCAGCAGAAATACGTCCAACCACTTCCCAACGTTTTTCTGAGAAAATCCTCCCACTTGCCTCAGAAAGAAAAACGTTTGCAGAAACATATCATTTTCTCTACTATCGGTGTCTCAAGAGGAACAGGGGGTTTGCATCATTTCACTAGTTCATGCACGCATCTGCATGAAGACAAACGCCATCAGTGCAGTTGCGCCTTATGTAAAATTCACATTTCACTAACAGATGAGCCCCAGGGCATGCCATTCACATACAGCTCGTATGGGCAGGTGCCAACATCACGCTCTGCTTTGCAAAGACCATGTTTTAGATGAAGTACAAAAGAAAGGTGAGAACTAATTCTGATTAGGAAGGATCTGAGATTTATTAGATGTGCTGGAACAGACCTTTCTTGAGCAGAATCTCCTAATGGCTTGTTTGTTTTTCACAGTTCAAAATACTGGTACATCAACTATCCCCATCGGGTGGTTCGTATGTTCCCATTTACCCACGGGAATAGTCACATTTATGCTGCATTGAGAATAAGGACATCAGCTTCAGCAACACAATCAGTACCCATGTTACTAGGGAAAGGATTTTTCTTTAAAGTTAATGTCACAATTCATTGCATGTAGGATAGGAAAGCTTTAAGATCTGTTTCCCAGCTGAAGATAAAAACCAACCTCATTCCAGTATCACTAAAGAAACATTTACATAGAAAAAAAAAGGAAACAAAAAAATTGAAAAAAAAAAACTTAACTACAGTGTCAAAAAACCACAGAAATGAAGCATTACCAAAATCTTGCAATTGGTATTGAATGTACTGAAAGGATTTTCAAAATGAGTTAGATGCAAAATACTGTCAAGAAGCTGTTGTCTTATTCTTGCATTCTCTGTATTTTATCCTTGGGAAAGAGTTCAGTGTTTTCTTGGCACAGAGCACGTAGCTGAAATTACAGCTTATTTGCACTTAAAGATAACAACAGGCCCACTTAATTACCTGATATTTACTTGGAGACAACTTGTTGTTTTTCTTTTTAGAGTAGGACAGAATGCTCATTGCTAGATCGTAAGAAGTGCAAAGTACTGTAAGTGGATATTGTGACATTTTACTGTATTCCTAATCCCTATACCTGGCAGCAACCACCTGAAAAAAAAAACAACAGGTCCACAGCATTCTGGGCACAAGAAAGCACTCACAAAACATGTGTTGAAAGCCCATCCAAGCCAGTGGAACAGAAGTGTGCTCTGTCTACTAAGCACAAGTGGTCCTTATTACTTTCCTGAACTAGAGCACTAATTACCCTTTTTCTTCTCAGAAGGTTGTTTGTAAACCTGCCTTCTTCCGTGAGAATGAAAACAGGCAGGACACACAAACTCTCCCTTCACTCAAACACAGTCCCAATAGGAATTAGTCATAAACACTTGAATAAAAATTAAAATAATGGCAGGAAATTGTAACGCTATTCCCCTCTTGTTGCCTATGATAAAAATAAGCATTATTTCTCCAGAAGTGCCACTGTCATTAAAAGTCCCACTAAATATTTTTTATACACGAAGACACGCAGTGTCAATTAAACCTGATACATAATTTTTGATTAATACCCATGGATTTTTACAAGATACAATCCAGTTTTATTGTCAGTTGTGCTTATATAATCACATTTGACAGGTATCTGATGTTGTCATACAGATAGCACTTTACTATTAATATTTTCTTGCTTTATGGAGACCACAAAGAACTGAGACAGTATCTCTCAATTCTAAATGTAGCTGAAGGATATTATTCCTCTTCTGGCTCACCGAGGATCACATCTTTAATTTATCCTAGCTCTGTACACTGTTCAAGACTCTTAATGACAGATAAAAGCAGGAAATGATGACTATGATCTCATAGCCTCTGTGAATTTGGAAAAAGATTAATGATAGTAATTGGCTCTCTTATTTGTCCTTTGCAATAGATGCATAAAAGAATAGCAGTTCTTGAACTGCAAAAATAGAGCAGTGAACATTTACATTCTAGCATTGTAAATTAAAGGCATTTCTGTTTAAGAAACACCAAGGAATGCAATATTTTTTCAATAGTGTTACAAAAAGGAGACAGGAATCATCATTCACTTTGATATGTGAGATATCATTTATCTAGCGCAGGCAGCCTTAAAGTCCCCTGATAGGTCAAGAATATAAAAGTGCTTTAAAAAGGAGAGTTTGTGATACAGTCTGGTCAGAAATTAAACATATCAGCAGAACAGACAGAGTTCCAATCTCTCAAGTCAAAATTCTTCAAGAGAACAAAGCCTGAGCAGACACTGAGGTTTTGGGGACTGCTTTAACTACATACTGGTCATTATCACAGCAGGATGATTACCAACACATTAAATATCTTAAACCTGCTAAAGTGGGCTAGCTAACTGATCTGCATTTGATTCCACACTCTGAATCATTCATGAAAGGTGCATTTCTTCCTGATTTCAATGATTGCAGTCATACATAACAAAACTGATAAATTCATCTTTTTCCCCAACAGGGAACCGAGAGAGATTAAATAAATTGATGGACAGAGAAGCTGCTGCTGCTGGGACATGACCTTCTCATCAAGCAAAGTACAATGAGCAGAATTTAGTGCCACTCTTTTCAAATCGTGGAAGGCTAGTTTTCCTTAAAAAGAATGCGACTGCTGGCCACTGAATTTTCATAAGTTGCTCATTCAGCTTTTTGAAAAAATCTCTTTGAAACAGAAGAACAGTGAGCTTGTGGACATTTAGACCATCAAATGCACTGTGAGAACCACAGAGCCACAAGTGAACAGGCCTGCAGCAGTTCAATAGCGCTTTGCTTTCTGGAAAGTAGATGAAGGGAAGCAATTTAATTAGTTGCTCTGCTCATTATTCATACATTAATAAAGCTACTTGAAAGGTATAGTTTCATTACTCATTGACATCAATTTTCAAAAGCCTTGTTCTCTCCTATGAGTTCAAATTAATTGTGCAAAGGTAAATCAGCAACTTTGTGCTGCAGAGGCTTTTTGCTATATATCCATCCTCAAATCCCAGCCCCACGGTTTATAGAGAGACAAGTAACTTGCTGACTCTAGTTGGGAATCAAATCATACAAATAATAACTGAGATTTTCAAAATTTGCCCTGTTACAGAGGGACAAGGTGAGGATTCCATCCACAGTTTCCAGGAATTTAATCACCATCCCAAGAAGAGAAAAATGACATTAGCAAACTGTCAGCTGGGTAAAGTGAACGGGGCGTAGATGGAAGTGGCTGCATGCAGATCTCCTAGGAGTCATGCTTTGCTACAGGTTTTCTCCATGGAAACCCAGCTGCATCAATTTTGTGCAGTCCCACAGTACACATCTCAGTCTCAGAAGTCGTGATAATACTAAGACAATTGTATTTTGCTGTTTTTATCATTACAAAATAAATTGAAAGAAACAGAGACCTCCATTTCCTGTCTTGTCTTCAAATTATCTTTGACAAGAGAATCTTGAAAAAAGTATTTCAAACCAACATTAAAATACCGTAACTAAGTTTATGGAAAATTCACAATGGTGTCAATAAAAATCAGGTAAATGAACCTCATGAAACAAAGCTTTTTCCCATATGTTGAGTAGGAGGAAGATCCGCTCTTCATTACCTCAATGAATGTGGCGAGAGAATTTTTAAGTCAAATCTATGAGCAATGCACACAAAATCCATCAAATATGTTCAAGCGGACTAGCTTAAAAAGATAGGTTCCACAATTGAACATTTTTCCCCCAGTATGATTCACTCAGTCGAGCTGACTAAACAATTCCATCAGTGTGTGAGCTGAATAACCCATACGATTGTCCCGACATTTTCAAATGAGATATGTAATTTTTTTCCCCATCACTCACCCAGCTGTGCCGGTGAACACCATGTAGCTACTTGCATATTCCAGGATGAAAAAACACAACTTGGGTTCTTAAAACTTATTAATAAACATGCACCAAAGCTGAGAAGAATTTTGAATCTATGTAAGAACACTTAAAGCCTAAATACGATTGTGCAAACCTTCAGATCCTCCTGAATCTTTTCCTCCTCCAATTTTGCTGCTTTTCGATCTTCCATTTCTATTTTCCATTTTTCTGCTACTATTCTGGCTTTTTCTTGAGCCATAGCATCCCGGAATTTCTTTGTAATTTCAGCTTCTTTTTGTCTCCTTCAGAAAAGAATTTGAAAATAAAAATGATTGAAGATATCTTAAGGCACAGTTTTTGAGTTTGTTTTTTTTTTAATTGAAGATCAAATTCTAGTCAATAGTAGATCCTTATTTGCAACAAATAATTAAAATAAGATGTATGGAAATACAAAAGAAAACACATTTAACAAGAAACCTATGAGGAATGGATTTCAGAAAACCATCCGGACAAGAAACTTCTTCAATTTCCGATAAATGTCCCATTAATAGAGCATCTTCTCAATGAGATCAATTTTTTTTTGTATTATTTTCCAGTCATGCCCTGTCTTCCTTGGCCAAAAACAGATTTTTCCTATCCATCTAGCAAACTGTGGGAATTTGTTTTCTCTCAAATACCAATGAAAATGTCTGCCAAATTCTAACATTAGAGCATTTATTAGTAGCGACAGCCTAAAAGGAGCATAGAGCACAGGGTGAAGTTTTAATCCCTGCTTAAATATGCAATCATTATAAGCAAGAACAATCTGATATGAAAAGCAATAATATAGAATAATCTGATATTTAATGTGTTACTTCTGTGCACTGAACTGCAAAACTAAGTGCAGGAAGCAGGTGGCCTATATCCCAACATCATCACAGCATCGAGCATCAAAAGACTTTTCAATCTTTACCAAAGCTGGAATCAGCCCTACTGGAAACACCAGCATGGCACTTGTAGTAATCAGCTTCTGAACTGCTGGGATAAGAACTAATACAAACAGTATGCACATGAAGTAAATTGGAAAAGAAAAAAAAAGCGTTACACATAAAAAATCCTTATTGTGGGCATAGATGCAACAATGCGATGCAACAAATATTTTCTGATTTCACCATCTCAAAACCACATTGTTTCACAGAATCACAGGACAGGCTGGGGCTGCAGTGAAAGCTGAGGCAGGACAAACTTTCTGTTTCCAGTGTTCTGTCACAGTAAAGAAGTGTTCAGGTGCAACTTTCTGTGTTCCAGCCTGCATCCGTTGTCCCTTGTTCTGTCATCAGCAGCAGTGCAAAGAATCTGCCCCATCCACTTGACTTCTACCCTTTAAATATTTATAAGCATTGGTAAGACCCACCCTCAGTCTTCTCTTCTCCAGACTGAACAGCCCCAGGTCACTCAGTCCTTCATTACTGGGGAGATGCTCCAGTTCCCCAGCCATTCTGGGCCCCTCCACTGGATCGCCTCCAGCAGTTCCCTGTCTTTCTTCATCTGGGGAGTCCAGATCTGGACACAGTACTCCAAGTGTGTCCTCAACAGAGCAGAGGGGGAGAATTAATCCCCTCAACCTGCTGGTCACACTCTTTTTACATATCCCAGGCTGTCGTTGGCCTTCTCAGCCACAAGGGCACACTGCTATCTCATGGCCAGCCTGTTGTCCACCAGGACACCCAGGTCCTTCTCTGCAGAGCTCCTCTCCAGCAGGTTAGCTTCTAACCCATACCGATGTGTGCGATTATTCCTCTTTCAGTTCAGTACTCTACAATTGCCCTTGTTGAAGGTCCCTCTGAGCTCTGCCAATCAGCCAGTTCTCAATCCACCTCACTGTCTGCTCATCTATCCCACACCTCCTTTGCTTACTTACGAGGATATTATGGAAGACAGTGTAAGAAGCCTTGCTAAAGTCAAGGTTTGCAACATCCGCTGCTCTTCCCACACCTACCCAGCAGATCATGACTTCATAGAAGGCTACCAGACTCATCAAGCACGACTTTCCCCTGGTGAATCCATGCTGACACACCAGATAACCTGCTTCTCATCCACCTGCTTGGATATGACATTGCTTGGAGATGACATTAAGAAAAATCACCTTCCCAGAGATGCAGGTGAGTACTCTTTCTTTTCTTTCTGAAGAGTGATACACATCGGCTTTCCTCAAGTTCTCAGGCATCTCTCCCATTCTCCATCACCTTTCCAAGTCAGTAGAGAGCAACTTGGCAATCTCTTCTGCCAGTTCCCTCTTTTTTATTTACTTTCTAACTGGACAAATATTTAGCAAAATTATCCAACAGAAGAATGTTCACTACAATTTTTTGTGCAAGAGGATTTCTGTTTTTTAACTATTAAAATAAAATTCAATTTTTCATACGATGAAAAATCACCAAAACAAATGAAAGCAAATGTTGACAAGACATACTTACCATTTTTTACCCACCATTACCTCACACCTTTCTACAAGGCCATGTGTCCCATAATGCCAAGTGGACCCCGAATTCAGATTCTTAAATCCTCACCATAGCTCTTCTGCCTCCTTCTGTGCTTGTTGCCTGGCGCGTTCAGCTATTAGCTCCTCTGATATCTGTTCATACGGCTTGTCACCTGGGGCTTCTCCCATAACCCAGACCCAGACCTCACCATCCTTCCCACGCAGCCACTGCACGTGTTTGCCATTACCTGCAACAGCAGAGAAAAAAAAAAAAGAAAAATGCAAGCATGTAAGTGCAGGCTCAAATTCTTACATAAATATAGAGGGAAAGACCAGAAAACCATAATTTAGAAACAATTTACTATTCAGAATAAGACATTTCATTTTCATGTTGAAATCTGTAGATTTGACCAATCCACCATGCTAGAAGTGGGGAAGAAAGTGTTTGTACAATTCAAAGCATATAATCCTCAAAGACTCATTGCCCTACCAAAAATAATAATGAAAAAAAAAATTCTGACATGTATTCCCCAGAATTTAGGGACTATGATCCCTTTTTAATTGCAGAAATTATACTGTCTTGCTTAATTCAGCGAAGGATGAACAAAGGGAAGAGAAAAAGAGATGGAGAGATAGAAACAAGTAGCATTATACAACCAGAAATACTTTAGCCCACAGGGAATTCTGATCATCGGGCATACAGAGACTGAGCTGAACCTTCACAAAATTTGAGGAACTCCCTGCTTCCAGAGTGTGAAGGAGGAGTTACAGAAAGCATACACATTAGAGCACACCACTCAACAGTAGAAGCACTGCTGTTCCAATAGGCAATTCACGGGGATTAAGTTTCTGGTTCAGTTTTCATGAAAGATACTATGCAAAAATCTATGGCTGCTGTGTTGGCAGAGGGATTTCACCAACACAGCTTGTGCACTCTTGACAATACAGACTTTTGGCAAGCATTCATTTCCAAAACATCTGCGAAAGGCTTCCTGCTGAGAACAAAGGGTACTTGATTAGATCCGATGTGACTAAACTTTAAGTCATATACACCACCTCACTCTTGTACATTTAATTCATATACTTCTATGCATTTTAGAAATTCATAAGAAGGAATAAGCGGAAGCACCCTTTGCATCCATTTTTATTTCTTGCTGATTTATTGAAATTGTCCTTCACAAAAGAACATTCTACCACAAACACTACAGCCAAGATAGATAATGAAAATCATTTCAAAAAAATACAGACTAAAAGGCCACAAGGGATCAGCAATTAATCTCATTTGCTGTATATTAAGCAGGTTGTTCCACAAGTAATACCTTCCATTTATTTCCATGGAAAGGACAATGGATAAAGAAAACAATAATATTATTTTAGAGAGCAAATCCTCAGCTAACAAAGGCTATTTTTTCAGCACAGTCACCACAATTAGCTAGGCATTTTCACCAGTGATGAACAAGAGCCTCCCGCATGCCATGCTTGTACAAATCTGCATCAGTAGAAGTAACCAAACATTGCCACTGTTGAAACACACCACCTATTGCCTCACTGTGCTTACATCCATTATTTGGCCTTCATAAACATTCAGCAAACATCAATTAATGTTAATGGGTGCCATTTTTTCCACACGGAAAAATTCAAAGACAGATCTTAGCTTCAAGTGCACTCCCATAACAGAAGCCATTTTGTCAGAGTGCCCCTCTGCTACTATCTGTCACACGGCAACAAAACGTAATGGAATATTGGTGGGAAGGTTCAGCCTCTACTGCCGTACCACCAACACCAACCTCTGAGGTTGTGGGCCAACATAATAAAATAAAAGGCATTACTTTCAGAGCAGACCTCATACATTCCACTAGATTTTACCCTCTTGCCTTCATATTGAGGCCAAGTAAATTCTTGGTGGCCACTAATTACTCTCCAGAAGGCATTCTGCCTCATTTCAAGATACGAAGAATTGGACAGCCCACATTTTCCTAGCTAGTTTTCCTCTGATCAGTCTTGTAGGAGTTTAAATAAATTTGGTTCTAACTGAACGTTCACTTTTTTTGTTTGCTTGCTTTTTGTTTTGTTTTTTTACAACTTTCTCCACTTCATTACCTTTGCTGCTCCTACCATCTTCAACTGCCTGCTGTTCTACAACAAGACAACGTCCACTTAACCAGATTAAGGCTTCCCAGTGTATAATCAATAATATTTTTGAGATCCCAGACTGAAGAGAGGAAAGTGCAGAAGGGAATGAAGCGGGGCTGTAGGCAGCAAGCCATGCCAGTGCCAAGCCACACTCATAAATGTTTACAATGCAAACTGAAGGCAATGAAAATATCAAATCTCTCAATGAAAGCTGATATCCTACATCAAATTTGAAATGTGATTTGTAAGAATTCCCTCTGTTGGCGTAATGGTACTAACTTCATTGAGTGGAAAAATTTAAGCTAGTAATATTTTCCTTCAATAACCCCCAAACGCTTTGTCCTTTCACAGTCTATCAGATTATGTCTCAGGATACAAATGTGAATGTATTCTACTGCAGTTCTGTTATGTTCTGTTAGCATTGTATTTTTTCCTACACAACATTTGAAAACCATCTACCAAGAACAGATTGGTCATATCAGTATGTGTCCCTAAGGCTGTCAGATACTGCATTTCATACATTTCACATCCTGAGAAGTACAGAATGATTTCCTAGGAATACTGTCTCTACATCTGAAAGATGTGGATTTTACAGCTGGACCACTTGATGGGTAAGAAATTGGCTGGATGGTATCACTCACAGTTTTTGCAGTCAATGGCTCAGCGTCCAGGTGGACATCAGTGATCGGGATTGGGACAAGCACTAATTATATCTCTGTTGTCATCATGGACAGTGGGATTGAGTACTTTCAGCAAGTTCGTGGACAACACCAAATGGAACTGTGCATGCTGAAGGGGAAGAAGCCATTCAGACAGACTATGACAAACTCAAGAAGCAGAGCCACAGAAATCTCATCAAGTTCAACAAGGCCTAAGTGCAAGATCCTGCACTTGTGTCAGCTACTTTCTCAGCATGACAAAGCAAGCATATGCTTGCAGTCCAGAAGGCCATTTGCTTGCAGTCCAGAAGGCCATTTGAGTCCTGGGCTGCATGAAAAACTGCATAGCCAGCAGGTCAGGAAGGTGGTCATCTCCCTCTGCCCCACTTCCATGAGGCCTCACCCGCACTATTGTGCCTGGCCCCCCTTGCCCAAGAAAGACAAGGACTTGTTGGAGTATGTCCAGAAGAGAGTCATGAGGATGCTCAGTGGGCTGGAGGACCTCTCTCCTGCAAAGAGAGGCTCAGAGAACCTTTTCTCTCAGGAGAAGAGATGGCTCTGAGGACACCCACTGCTGCCTCCCAGTACTTAACTAAAGGGGAGGTAGAAGAAAGCTGAAGAGGGACTTTTTAAAGGAGCATGCTGTGATAGGAAAAGGGATAAGGGCTTTAAAAAAAAAAAGAAAAAAAAGGTAGATTTAGATAAGAAATAAGAAAAAAAAAATCTTCACTATGAGAGTGGCAAGGCACTGGAACAGGTTGTGCAGAATAGTTTTGGATGTGCCATTCCTGGAGATGCTCAATGCTAGCGTGGGGGGCTTCCACATCTAGTAAAAGGTGGCTCATGATTTTAAGGTCCCTTCAAACCCAAATTATTCTGTGATTCTAAGATTCTAATATGTTTCTCAGGCACACAACCATAATTACCGAGCCACTTAAAACAAGTAATTGATTTGTAGACACATACTGAGATATTGTTCTCTTTCTTCCTTTTAAAACAATAAATCTGTCTTGTAAATCTACAGACAACAGATTCAAAGCATTCTGAAAAAAATCGGTGCAATATACTGTAGGTTTACAGTACTGTATACTGCTATATAGACATAGTTCAAGTTGAAAGATAAGAACTATCAAACAATCCGTCAATTTGAAGTTCCAGTGTTAGATAGATTTCTACACATACAATTTTATAATGTTTGAACTTGAGCACATATACCTATATCCACCTTTTTCTTTAGAGCATGAGAAAAACTTTCAAATTCAACTATCCTCCATTTTACGTCAAGAAATGACTCCCATGCAAATCATAACTTAAATCTACTTGAGCTTCATTCCCCATAAAGTTGGAGATCGGCTTTACTGCACAACCAGATCATAAAACCTTGTGCAATATAACAACCAAAAAATGATGAGTGGTCAGGAAAAGAAATAAGTCAGGGAGAAGACCTGACATCGTGAAAATGGAATTCCTGCCATACAAGAGGCATTTGCAGCCTCAAGATCAAGCTCATGGTGTCAGGCCTTTTGGGCCAACCATACTGAGCTTGCATTTTCAACCTGTAGAACCAATTCCAAGATATGAGCTGAGAGCACAGAAAACTCATTTCCTCAATATTTTTAGGAAACTAGCGTTGTCTGCCTTACTAGTGCAGAATTATTACCATTGAGGGCTGATTATAATAAAATAATTTATACTTTAAGACACGTCTAAAGTATTACATTTTTCAGAATATACATATCCTGTTCATACAATTTATTCCTAAATGCAACAAATTTGAAATAGAGAAACTCAAGTAAGTCTAAAAGGGAAAGGCAGGTCCTAACTAAATGAATTTAAAGTCTAAGTGAGAAAGCAGCCAGGGAATCTCATTTCTCTTCCTCAGAAACAGAGACATCTGAGCCCAGGAACAAAACCTAATACAAAATCAGGAAATAAAATCATATCTCTTGAGTCTCAGCCTGGTGCTAGATTACAGAAATACTTCTCTTTTCCTGCAGATTGTGGCAGGCTGTGAATAGTTATCGTTAGGAAGTACTGGACATCAAGATTAGTCCAGATGAGAAAGCCAGGAAAAAAAAAACAAAAACATTTTAGAAACAAGCATTACCTTATCAGGAAAATGTACTAAATAATTCACCAAGATTGTTCTCTAGCTCTACTGCTCAGAACAACCATTTGTAAAGGTATAGAATATTATTGTGGTTTTTGTCTAAATCAACTCTGTAGTAACTCAGCAAGTCAACTTCTTGCAATTCTCTTAACCTGTCTACAGAAGAGCATCTCTTACTGAGGTCTCCCTAAGCTGTAGCTATACTGCTTTAAGATCAGTAAACAGGTTTCTGCATACAACCACTTACACTAGGCAAACGCAAAATCAAGTATGCTAAATTTGCAGCACAAAGAGATAACAGTGCAAACTTTGAGACCTACAACCTGAAGCAACAGCAACATAAAAT